AGATAAAAAGTTTCCTCTGATTGGCTGAGTCAGAGAGGTGGGCTGATGTATACCGCACATCCAGCGGCCTCACAGGTTAGTGAGGGACATAGTTTGTTTGGGCCAAGCTGGCTCAAACAAACTATGTAAAGTATAGCAAAAGGTGGAGATTAGTTTTAAGCCAACTACAACTTTATTAGAAGAATAATATAATATGATCTATAACCAGCAGGTTCCATGTGGGCCAAATGTGGAAGGGACCATCCCTGTCTATATCCTAAGCCAGTGATAAAGGCAAAGCCAAAGATAAAAGTACGCTCACTGTTTAGGATAAGAAAATGCAATACCGGATTACGAGTTCTCAAGAGATATTATGTTTGAAACCAAAATAATATGAAATATGGAAAAATGCTGAATCGAACCTGACCAAGCCTAAAACATTTCCAAGGTAGCAACAGTTCTGATGTGCACCCACCTTAAGTTGCCTGGAAGTAGCTATGTTCATCTTTAAATTGATTTATTTTGCCCCTGTAGATCTCACACTGTCCATGGGGGCCTTGGCTCCCTTGTTTCTTCCTAGTCACTGAGACACAAAATAAGGTGAGTTTTTTTACCACAGCAAGTGGTGAGGGAAAATCCTCCAAAGGGGCGCCTGTTGCTGTGACAACTCTTTAACCACTTGCCCACCAGAGGATTTAACCCCCCTTCCTGACCAGGCCATTTTTTGCACTACGGAGCTGCGTTACTTTAACTGACAATTGAGTGGCCATGCAACGCTGCACCCTAATGAAATTTATGTCCTCTTTTTCCTACAAATAGAACTTTCTTTCGGTGGTATTTTATCACCTGTGCGTTTTTTAATTTTTGCGATATATATATACATATATATATTTTAAAAAAACAAAAAAAAACAGTTTTGAAAGAAAAAAAATATTTTTGACTTTTTGCTATGAAACATATCCCCCAAAATATTTTTAAAAATCTAATTTCTTCATACATTTAGGCCAAAATGTATTCTGCTACATGTCTTTGCTAAAAAAAAAAAATCACAATCCGTGTAAATTAATTGCTTTATGTGAAAGTTAGTGTCTACAAATGGTGGTGTATATATACTGGAATTTTTATTTTAAAATTTTTTTTATACTAGTAATGGCGGCGATCAGCGACTTATAGCAGGACTGCAGGACTGTGGTGGGCATTCTGACACTGGTTGGAATCTGATTAACTGCCACTGGCATCCCCAGTGACACTAATACAGTGATCAGTGCTAATAAAAATCAGTGACACTGTCCTAATGACACTGGGCAGGAAGGGGTTAACATCTGGGGCGATCAAAGGGTTAACTATGAGCTGTGTGTGTTTTGCTGTGTGCTGTGTTTACTAGGGAAACATGCTGTTTGGTATCTCTCTGCTGTGCAGAGAGATACAAAGCAGCATGTCCATGCTAACAGGAGAGAGACCTGTGTTGTTTACACACAGGTCTCTCCCCTGTCAGCTTTCCCTGATGATCACCGAGTGCCTACGGGGAATTGCCGGGCCACACCCGGTGATTGACATCTCTAGCTGCCAATAGCGGCGCGGGTAGGGTAGCGCATGTTCCCCCTACCCGGAGATGCAAATCACGTATATATATGTGATTTTGCGCAGCCCTGCTGCCCTGTAGCAGTACTTCTGCTATAAGGCAGAGGGCAACTGGTTAAGCTAGGAATTCCCTTTGGAGAGATTTGTTGTGTCTTTAGGACAGGAAGTGAAGGGAAATCTCCCCAGCAAGACACATAGGACAAGAAGTAAAGGAAAATCTTCCCAGTGGGACACAGGCAGCAAAAAAAAAAATGACAGCGTATTAAACCCTCCCCTACTCTATCTAAAAGGTAAAAAAATGTTTTTTGAAAGCTGTATTAAACCCCAAACCAAAAATGTAATATATTACAGCTTACCAATCATTAGATGTGGTGGCTGCATTCATTTTTTATTTTAGCCTTTTCCCTCTGTTATCACCTGGTAATCTGGCCAGTACCACACCTCCTGTATTAGAGCACCCCCACTCTGGAGGAAGGAGCACAAGGGGCACCTTTGGACAGCAGCATTGTCATTCTGGGGGGAGGGGAGTGTTAGATGGACTAGCACTTGTAGATACACAAACAAATTGAAGTTGAATTCCAGCTCACACTGCAGTCACACAAGCAGTTACTGCAACAGTTTTTTTTCTTTTAGGATAAAGGTTTTACATGCATAAATATAAGGTGATCATTGTAAGCACCTCTGTCAGTGGTAAAAGGTTTGTTAACTAATACATCCGCAGGAGAGCTTGTTCTGTTGAAACACAACAGACTTACTGGCCAGATCACCAGGTAAAAATAAAGGAATGAAAGCCTAAAAAAGAAAACTAATGCAGCCACCACATTTAAGAAATGGTATTCTGCAATATAATAAATGTTTGCTTGTTGGTTTAATACCACCTGAAGATCAATTTATTGCCTGGGCCTAGGATCCAAAGGGGAATCCCCAGGGATCAATTTCAGGGCTGCCCTTTAAAAATTGGAAAATGTTTAGGACATGTTTCAGTTTAACCACTAGCGGACTGCCCCATGTAGATATACTGTGGCAAAGAGGCTGCTCTGCGCTTGATCCCGTGTATATATACTTGATGCAGCATTTACAGGAGGGGGGCGTGCATCTGTGCTGTCATTCGGTACAGCACAAGTCTGTAAGCAGGTTCAGGCCAATGATTTATGGCCAGGACCTACTGATCGGCTTAGTGAATCACAGTACAGAGCCCTGTGTTTATTAACAACACAGGGCAATGTACACAGAGCAGCAATGTGGCTGTTCTTATCTTGCTGCAAAGCAGGGAGAGAAAACAGTCACATCTCTTAGTAAAAGCAGCACACACTACACACACAGTTAACAATTTGAATGCCCCTGGATGTTAACCCCTAACCAGCCAGTGTCATTAGTACAGTGACAGTGTTATAGTATTATCACTGATCACTGTATTCGTGTCACTGAAGATGTCAGTGCCAGGTAGTCAGTTCCCACCCAGTGTCAGTTAGTGTCAGATTGCCTACTGCACTATTACAGTCCCACTATAAGTTGTTGATCACCATCAATACTAGAATATACAAATAAATAAATAAAAATTCCAGTATATATACCATAGTTTGTAAATGCTGTAACTTTCACACAAACCAATCAATATATACATATTGGGTTTTCTTTTTTTTCCAAAGACATGTAGCAGAATACATTTTGGCCTAAATGTATGAAGAATTTTTTTTTTATTGGATATGTTTTATAGCAGAAAGTAAAAAATATTGTTTTATTTTGAAAATATACAGTCTTTTATTAGTTTGTATAACAAAAAAATACCACCATCAAATACCACCAAAAGAAAGCTCTATTTGTGTGAAAAAATGACCGCACAATTGCCAGCTAAAGTAGCACAGCGCCGAATAGCAAAAAAAAATGCTTAAGTGATTAAAGGAGCTTAAGTGATTAATGTGGATATGAAGGTTATCAGTTGATATATATGCAGTAAATGATCCTTGCATATTGCAATTCGCTCCAGTGGTTTGTACATATGAGCGACTGTTGTAAAGCTCACCCAAAACTCAAATATACATTTTAGACTTTGGTTTAGCTGTCATTGTACTTCAGATTTCATTCTAACTTTACTTGCTGCTTACTTCTTCCATGTCAGTGGGTCAGAAAGTCAGAAACAGACAGTTAACAGAGTCAAAAATAGGTCAGCAATCACAACCTCTGTATTTTTCTCAGCACACTTTTCCTCTAATAAAGTTCAGGTTGATAAAAAGGCTGGAGAACCTGAAAGATAGAACATAGCTTCTGTCAGTAATGCCTATGACCTGTGCTTTACAAGCCTTCCAAGTCTTTAGTGTAAAATATCTCCTCTTTCTGCTCTCTCTGCTTTATCTCTGTTCTTGTAACCTGTAAAAAAAATTCCTACTGAGTGTCATCCTCCTGATTGTGATTTGTCCTTTAGTACCAGACAGAAAGCTTCTGACACCTGTCATGCCTGATACTAGAGGCCAGTGGTACAGCAAACGGTTTTAGTAGTGGTTGTAGGTGCAAATAAGCCCCTGCTCATTTTGCAACCTCCCCATAATTTGGGAGGGGAAGCTAGGTGCACAAGGGCTTTACAAAGGCTGATGATTTTCAAGAGGTATTAGGATAGGCTGCAGGGATAGTTGTAGGGGGTAGCAGCAGGTATGGGACTGAAGATTAGGGACCCTTGCTAAAATGGTTGTAAAGGCTTAAGATTTTTTTACCTTCATGCATTCTATAAAAAAAACTTCAGTGTGCAGCACCCCCCACCTCCCTAACACCTGAGCCCCATCTAGATCCAGAGATGTGCATGGGAACCTTGTTTCTCCAGGGATTCTCCTTCCTCATTGGATGAGACACAGCCAGTGAGGAAAGAGTAGGGAGAGGGCTGAGCCACTCTCTGTGTGCCTCATAGACACACGGAAGTGGCTCGGAAGCAAGCACACACAAGTGCCCGCAGAGCAAGCAACTTGCTCTAGGGCAGTGTTTCTCAACTCCAGTCCTCATGGACCCCCAACAGGTCATGTTTTCAGGATTTCCATTATTTTGCACAGGTGATTTGATCAGTTTCACTGCCTTAGTAATTACCACAGCTGTTTCATCTGAGGGAAATCCTGAAAACATGACCTGTTGGGGGTCCATGAGGACTGGAGATGAGAAACACTGCTCTAGGGGCACTCAGCAGGGGGGAGGAGCTAGGAGGACCAGGGAAGGGAAGGATCAGGGCTGCTCTGCGCAAAAACATTACACAGAGCAGGTAAATATGAGATGTTTTCTTATTTTTTTTTAATAAGTGGAACCTTTAAAATCACTGTAGCCTCCCTGGCGGAATTCCCGAGTGTAGCTCGGGGTAAAGTTTCAGTACCAGAAGCGGTAACCACGAGCTACACTTGGGCTTACCATGCGGCGCTGCTCCGGGATCCCTCGATCACTTACCTTGTCCTGCGCTCCAGCGATGTCCCTCCTGCAGTGTCCCCTGTAATGTCTTCCAGCGGATGCCAACATCTGTCATCTGGGTTCCGTCCCCTGCGAGCATCGGGATGTACAGGGATGGAACTGGCGGGAAATTTGAAAATGACAAAAAGTGACATTCATTAAATACACTAAAATCACATAGTAAAACATTACTGTATCAAACCATTTCACATACATGTCCCTAGTGCTTTGTCCTGTGCCCTGCCTTCATTATCACTGTTCTTTCTACCTGGAAACTGAGAAAAGTCCATGGCGTCCAAAAAGCGTCCCTTTAGGTCAAAATTAGTTTTAGACCAGCTAGAGAACAGCGATAGTAAATTAGAACCACTTGCAGAATTGAGTGATAATGATTCGTGGGGAAATTCGTCATCAGACACTGAAAACAATTTTGCGACTTTGCTCAGTGATGTGCGAACTTGGCGCTATATTTCAAATTTCAGTGTTTTTGGTTTGATTATATTATTGAATTAAATTTATTATTATTATATTATTATTTTTTATGATTATTTATTAAATTATAATTTATGATTTCGTGTTTCAAATTTTAACATACCCAGGATGTTTACTAGACTCTTGTTCGGACAGATTTCAGTGAGTTATTCCTAAAAAATTACAGACCTACAATAAAAAAATACATATTTCCATGCAAAAAAATGTACCACTTTGAGCACAGAAATATGGACATAATCAGACCGCTAGGGAGGTTAAATCTTACTTCTTACTCCGGATGTATCATGCTACTCCACTGCCAGAAGCTGACCTACTTGAGAACGTCATGTTGTGTGTGTGAGTGTGTGTGTGTAGGTTCTGCACTATTTCAGTGCAATTTCATGTGCGTCCTATATTGACATCTGTGTAAATGAAGTCGCAGAGATGTCGGCAAGCCACATATGAAGTCGCACTGATCGGTGGCTTAGAAATTGCGCTGAAATAGGCTCATACATACAGGTCTCAAAAAACAGTGCTTTTACAGGCATTTGGCTTTTTTTTTCTGCCTGTAAACACTCCTCTATGTGTGGTTAAGTACACATAGGCATTTACAGGCATATTAGAAGAGGAGTGTTTACAGGCAGTCAAAAAAATTAATTACCAGTACATTCAGAAGAGGAACTTTTAGGCAGAAAAAAAACACTTTTAGTAACATTTGTGCTTTAATGTATTCAAATGGTGTGAATAAATTAATATTCTGGCCAATAGAATGCACTAATGCACAGATGCACATAAACACGTGTGCAATATATGCCTTATACAGCGTTTTTTTTTAGTCTGCTTTTCTCCTGGATGGAGAAAAGGTGTTTAGAGGGGTTAAGTGGATGCCTTGTGTGCATGAGGTCTTCTACAGCACTTTTAGGGCTCATGCTAAACTGACATTCAGGAGCTGTTGAGCATTTTTTTTCATAAGCCCCTGAACTCTCCTTTATGTTTTCCTATGTGTCCATGTACACATAGTTTTTTACAGGCAGATGAGTTTACAGTCGTTTTTGTTTAACACACCAAAATTGCGTTCAGGAGTATATTTTACCAGGGTTTCAAAGCCAATTGCTTGAAACGCATGTAAACGCGGTTAACCGCGTTTACAAGAATTTGCGTTTTTTTGGCAGGTCCATATCCAGATGCTGTCCAGAGCCTTTTTTCTTCATCACAAAATGCATGCAAAGTGTTTTCCATGTATTCAAATGCACCTAGTACACCAGCGCAGTCAGTTCCAGGTTTCACATGAAGGAAAAAATGGTAGAATGTGCTGCATTATGCTCATAATGAGATCCATAGTGAATACAACCAGAAAAGATAGGTCATCTCAACACATACTGCTTTCTCTGCTTCTGCTCTCTCTACTTCTCACAAAATGTCTGAAATAGTTAATATTTACTATTTTTCAGTGCATTCTGGGCATTTGGGAGGGTATCCTGAATTCATCTTTTAAAAGCGCTTCTAAATGCATACATGCATAAACGCAGTATGCAAACGCGGCTAAACTGACGTTTTTTAACCTACGTTTTCTAGCAGTCAGTTTCCAGCGGTCAAAAGAGTTTTCCAAACGCCCCGTGTACATGAGCCCTTATTTTGAGTGGGTATTTTCCATTTTAATGGTCCTAAGAAAGTAAATTTAAAAAGCTATTTTATTTTTTAAAACTGAAACAATCTACCTGATTTAAACCATACAATGACTAGCTTACTTTATAGATGTATTGCTTTAGGACAGAAAACTATAATTTCCAAGCAGATATAAACGTTCTTTATTTTTTAAATGTATTTTATTAGTGTGAGATTTCCCATAAGATATAATGTACTTTTATATAACAAATACTTAAAACATTGTGTGTATTTGGACTCCCACATGCTCCCCCACTGTCTTTAACCAGTTATAATGTGCTCTGTACGGATTGGGTTGTAATACAGTACATTATACTATAATAAAATACACAAAAATGTATACCTAATGTACTAAAGTAAAGAACTAGATCTAACTTAGGCAACAAGTTAATTTCCTCTTCTAGAGAAAGGTAGAAATCTTTCTAAAGACCATCTCACTCAATGCTGATTAGTGGGGATCTCTTTTTACAACCCCACTAATCAGATTTTTTTTTTTTAAAAATCTGCTAAGTAGGTCTGAGGCAGCCACCACTTGGCTCTGTTCTGCTTTCTTCCATGCAATTTTGTTTGTCCTTTCTTTTCAACAGGTTTGCAATGCCAGACTGCTTCTCTCCAAGACAGCCTGCATTGAAAAACAATGTATTTCCAAAGGTTGGATTGCATTGTAGAAAGCGGAGCGACTTTTCAAGCAAATCAACCAGCTGCTCACTGGGTGTTCTTAGTGGGGAGATCCTCCTATCAAGAGTTTATGTATAGTATGTGTGTGTGTGTGTGTTGGTGGGGGGAGTTGGAAAACCTCTTTAAGAGCCTATTGATTCTTTGAGTGTGTCTGTTATGTCTGCTCTGTGAGTTATTTGTTCAAGTATATGTTAGATTAGTTCTATGAAAGCCCACAATTTTTTCAAGCCAGTGAATCACAAAGCTGTGTATCCACCAGGTTTTACATTTATACCACACATGCACACACATACACTTACTGTGAATTCACACAATATGATGTAAAGTGAACAGGTTCAACTGGTAGTGGATGACTTTGTACAGAAAGTCTGTAGCTAAAAACAAACCAACTAAAATTAAGTCAGTCCCTGATTCACAGGGTGTCTCCTGGGGGTTCCCCAAAACAAACAGGCAGCACATGTATTTTTTGAATGCCATGTCTGAAAGAGAGAAAGCCCTGAGCAGCAGTAAGCTCACATATAAATATATATTCTATAGGCCTGGGTACAGGAACCAATATTAATGTCTGTTTACCGGATAAGATGTGGATGTAGGAATGAAGGCTTTAGCGCACCTAACCACTTGCCTACCGGGTGCTTATGCCCCCTTCATACCCAGGCCAATTTTCAGCTTTCAGCGCTGTCACACTTTGAATGCAACATTGTACCCATATGAAATTTTTTAACATTTTTTCACACAAATAGAGCTTTCTTTTGGTGGTATTTAATCACCACAAATTAGAAAAAAAAGGTTTTCTTTGTTTCGATTATAACATTTTGCAAACAGGTAATTTTTCCTCCACTGATGTGCGTTGATGAGGCTGCACTGATAGCACTGATGGGCACTGATAGGAAGCACTGATGGGCACTGATGAGGTGACATGGATAGGTAGCACTGATGGGCACTGATGGGTGGCACTGCTGGGCACTGATGGACACTGGTGGGAGGCACTGCTGGGCACTAGTGGGTGGCACTGCTGGGCAGCACTGCAGGGCACTGATCATTAGGGCACTGATCATCAGTGCCCTGATGATCAGTACCAATCTACTCTGTGACAGTTGCTGGTTATTGGAAGTACTTTCTTCACGCTGTGAAGACCCGGCAACTGTCACAGAGTAGCTTGGTACTGATCATCAGGGCACTGATGATCACGTGGTAAAAGGCTGCTGTGATTGGCTTTTTATCTCATCACATGATTAGCTGTGTCTGTAGGACACAGTGATTACAGAGATTGCCGGGTGCGTGCCACTGGGGGCACGCGGGAGGGCGCGTTCTGGGAGGACGTCATATGACGCCCTCCCAGAACTGGGTAACCACGCTGTAGCCGTTATTCGGCTATAGTTCAGTTACCAAGTGGCTAAAGTTCTATGAAGCCGTCAGGCTCCAGAGCCCAAATTATGACTTAATAAAATAGTGTACATACTACGTTATAGACTTTTTCTAATACAGATAAAACTTGTAGCATGCAGCCGACCCCCCCCCCCTCCCCACCTTCTCCAGCTCATCTGCCTTCCCTCTCCACCAGTTTACTTTGTAAACAGCTGGCTGTACTATGACAAGGGATAGGTAAGCTGCAGGTTGTCTATTTAACTCCCCGATGCCCCCCTCCTCCTCTCAGCAGAGTTTACCCACAAGAGAGGACTGTGTGTGTGGACTCTCATCCCCCTCTCACTTAGCAACAGCAATGCACTAATCAGCAGTAAGGAGGAGAGAACCTGATTTTTCTGGAAAAAGGATTCTCCTCAGAGTGTGACAGGAGAGTGATGTGACAGGAGTGTGACAGGACCATGTCAAAATTCCATCTACAAGAGAGAGCCTAGTCAGCGGATCCTAAAGCCATGTGAGGGATAGCCAGAGGGTATAGATCGTGACCCGAGAACTGAGTGATAAAGCTACCTACCAGAGTCATCACGTGCAACTCAGAGTGAGCAAATACCTGATCGGAGAGACCACTGCTGCTGAGAGGGCTTTGTAGCCAATACTTGTTACCACTTTTACAAACTGAGCCATTCGGAACTACCTACCAGCTACCCGCAGCCCTAATACCACCTGCAGGCCTTATTGACTGCCTTAATGTGCACCACCGGGCCCCAATGTTTAGCTGGCTGAACAGTCAGGTCTAAAGATTGCCCCTAACAGTTGCTGCACTGATGCCTTGTTTTTTTTGTTTTTGTTTTTTGTTTGTTAAAGAGGAACCTTCTAAGATTAGCTGCGTCCCAGCTAATCCCTTTAGAGTGCACTTTAACCTCGAGTAGTGTTATCATCATTTATGTTTACTAATATTGTTTATTGCTGATTTTCTATCTTACACTTCTGATTCTATTTAGAGATATAAAATCAAATTTTTGTCAATTTAACATAGTTAT